GGGCGGGGGCGCTGGCGGCGGCTGAAACCGTGTCGGGGCAGCGCCGGGGGCTGCTGCCGCCGCCGCGAGCCCGGAGCCGCGATGACCCCGTGGCCCGCACCTCCTCCGCCTCCACCTCTCGCCGCGCCGCCGCCGCCTGGCGCGCAAGCTGCTTTTTTTCTGCGCCTTGTCCCTGTCTGTCACCTACCTGTGTTACAGCCTCCTGGGCGGCTCGGGCACCCTGCAGTTCCCCGTGGTGCTGCAGGAGCCGCCGAGCCCGCCGCCACCCTGTCTACTGCCGCCCCCCGTGCGCCTCGGCACCCCCTCGCAGCCGTCCGCGCCACCGCCGGACAACGCGAGCCGCGGGGAGCCCCCGGAGCCCTCCAAGCAGCCCCCTGCCCTCGGGGCCGACGGCTGGGGGCTGGCGAGCGGCAGCGGGGGCGCTCGGGACACCTGGCTCCGGACCCCGGTGGCCCCTGGCGAGATGATCACGGCGCAGAGCGTGCTGCTGGAGAGGGAAGCGCAGGAGTCCAGCACCACCCACGACGAGCTCGCAGGCCAGAGAGCGGTCAATGGGAGCAGCGAGAGGGGCGGCGCCCTCAGCACCCCTAACTATGGGGAGAAGAAGCTGCCACAGGTGCTCATCATTGGGGTCAAGAAAGGAGGCACCCGCGCGGCTGGAGGCGATCCGAGTCCACCCGGAGGTGTGGGCGGTGGGCATAGAGCCGCGCTTCTTCGACAGGAACTACGAAAAGGGGCTAGAGTGGTACAGGTAGGACTCTGGGCTCGGCGCAGGGGATAGATGCGTGGGGAAGACCCAGAGGGAAAGCTGCGGCTTCCCACGCCCTTCGACATCCAGGCACCTCTCTGAGAGTCCTTCGCCCCACGAGGCCTCTGCGGACCCTGCCGGGGCTGCTCGGGGGAGCGCGGAGAGGGCTGGAGGCTGGCCAGGGATCACTGTATTTCAGGGCTAGGGGAGCTGGTGTCACACTGCCCTGCCTGCCTCAGTCTCCTCACCCAGAGAGGTGCTTTCTGAAGCTGCCTAGCTCCACGCCTGGGAATCCCCAGCCCAGGTGCCCGCGGGGTGTTTCCCAGCCCAGGCTCTTGTGGGGCTTTGCTCTGCTGCGTTGGGGACGCTAAGGCATGAAGCAGGATAGCTAGATTGACTGAAGGGCTTTGAGTTCTCCTGGAATCTCTCAAAATCGCCCTCAAACGTATTTGCGTGTCTGAAATCCGACTTTAGTATTTTCAGGTTAGAGCAAAATGAACAGGGAACAGTTAAAAAGATGACGCTGGTGAGTTTTGGCTTGCTAGAAAAGACTGAGGATGTTCCCCATCTCCAGGACTTTCTATCCCCAGGTGGCTGCAGGAACCCTGGGTTCATTTGGCATCAGGAGCATCAAGGTCTGCACGACAGTCGGTGCCCTAAGAGTCTTTACATCCTGCACCCCTGCCCTTTCTAACCGGCGCCTCCTTCGCAACAGATGTTCATCTCCCTTCTCTTCCACAGTCTCCTAGCGGTGAGGGAAAGGAGAGGAGAGTAGAAAGTTAAGTGCAGGTAAAATAAATTAGTAATCCGGCTTTCTTGCCAGCCATAACATTTAAAAAACACTGGAGCAGATGCCCCAAAGGCAAACATCCTTTGCTCCCCCCCCCCCACCTTTTCTCTCTTTCTGGAAAACATCTGGATGGCTGGTCCCATCTCTGTTGCATCTCAGTAATTAATTGGAGTTGTCAGCCAAACACAGGTTTTATCAGCTAAAGTGATATTATCATCTTCACAAGGCCAATAGGTAAAATAAGGATTTTTTCCTGACAAGGTGCCTTGCTGTTGAAGAGATGTGTTTTCTAAGTTTAAATTACAGCCTGCAAGAGTTTTAGAAATAACCTAACTTCAGAAATATATAGTAAGTGTGTATTATATAATAATATATATTACTATATGTGTGTATTATGTAATATAATATATGAATATATAATATGTATTGATTGATTTCTTCCACTTTAAAAAATACGCCTTATGCTTTCAAAGCTTGAGAGAAGTACATTTAGGCATAAACATTCCAGCCGGTTAAATGGAAACAGTAAATGTGTCTGTCAATATCTTATCTATTTCAACAGCGAGAACTAACTAATTGCAACATTTTAGGAGGCCTCAAACAGCCCCTTCCTATCAAAACAGAAACCAGTCAATGCCTACTTGAACTGGGAAATCAGTATTTATAACATGGCAAGTCATGGCTTCCAGTTTGCGATTAGAATTACAAAAGGTGTTAGGATGATTAATGCAACAACAGCCAACCAGAGAAAGGAGGAGATGTTTGGGAAGGTTTTGGTTGTTTAATTGTTGGTTGTAGGAATGTTCTGATTTCTGCTATGGGGTTGCTTCAGCCCTCTGAGGGTCACTGTGGTCTTTTCCAGTTCTAATTTCAAAGCTGTGTATCTTGTGAGAAGTGTCAGATGCCCCTTGGGGGAGAGGAAGGCCTGAAGATCAGACCTTTCCAATGTGTGTTGTGTTGCTTTGTGGCAGCTGGAAATAGAGATGGGGTGTTTGATTCAGGTGACTTGAAGTTGATGTAGGGTGCATGGTGGAATGCATATCAGGAGGTCCCATCGTAGGGTCTGGAGAATTTTCTGAATGAAAGGATAGAAGATGCCAGATTTTCTCATGTTCTTAAATAGTGCTGTTGGGAAAAGAAGGTATGAACTGGCCTCGCTATCATGACATGGTTACTGAAGATGTCATTCCAGCTTTATGTTTCTCTCAGCCATCACTTGTGATATTTGGGGCATGGTGTCAATATTTGGTAGCCGCCGTATAACTGTTACGCTGAAGAGACATGGATAGAGCTAGATTCCCTTGATCCTCACTTCAGAGGACCACATGGTTTCTCTGTGTCCTCGATCTGCTACTCCAGAAATTCACCCATGCGAGACCCTTATGATGCTCAGTGGTGCTGATTGGAAGTGCTGGAGGAGAATCTCTCCAACATAGAGGGAATCATTAGCCACCCAAACCTGTCTGTTGAGAAGACTCCCAGAATCCCCTTGGACCCACAGTTGCTGAGTGTGCTGGGACTGGCCTTGGATAGCTCTCCAGCCTTACAAGGGACAGCAGTGTTTTGAGGACATTTGTGGGATTTTCATTAGCTCTGTCTCTCCTCTCTTTCTCCCATGTAGGAAGAGGGGATGACAACCTCACTCTGTTGTAGAAAAAGAAACAGTGGCATTGATTCAAACCAGTAAAAGACACCTCTTGGTTCCCTGGTACAACTCCATCTTTTAAATGGTGACATCTATACTTAAATGGTTATACCAGGTATTCTGCCTGAAATCTTACTCTACTGTTTGAGTAGTTAGAGATCCACAGGTTAATTAAAGACTTTAATTTTACCCCCATTTATTTGTTTTTGTATTTCTTTTTGTTTTTGGTGTGCTTCCCAATAGCCTACTAATTCTGCAAGTGTTTCTGGTTGCTGTGTTTTCAGCAAGAGGGAGAGCAAGAAGAAATTAGGGCTGCTCCCAGCGCAGCTGGCTTTGGGTTTCCTCATATCCAACTAGGCAGCCCTAGCAGATTTATTTCTGTTGTCACTCCAGTTATGTTTAAATCTAGGTTTTGCTTTCTCTCATGCCATCAATCTAATGTGATTTAAAAACACATCTGAGATGAGACCATGTGCATTTGG